TGAGGAGAAGGATTACGAGTAGAACATATACCTTTTCAAATGGCAGTGGGAATGTCAAGTTCAGAGTGCTCGGTGGCTCTAATACAGGACGAGTACAACGCTGATATACCTACAAAGGTGGAGGAGATGGGTGTGGAGGGGATGGAAACGCCTCTGGAGGACAGAAAAGGATTAAATTAGGGGAAGTCGTGGACGGGGAAGACTCGAGTGTAGATGTTCTAAGTTCAAAGAATGAAATGGACTTGAAGAAAGTAACATCAGCAGAAATGGAATACCTGCGAAGAGTAGGGGAATAACACTTGTATCCTTTTTGAGATCATGGCCGGGTACCCGAGAAAAACACACTTATGAGACCGAGGAGAGAGCTTGTCAATGCCAGGACCAAGAGCATGAGAAAAACATGTAGAACCAAAGACCTGAGGTAGTAAAGGATGAAGAGAGTGGTGGAGGTATAGAACTTGATGAGGGATTTTACCTTGTAAAACAGAGGAAGGCATACGGTGATGTTTGACGTAACACACTAATGAGGAACATGAGAGTAGAGAAGAAGAGTGTCTCAAGTATATGCCTATTTTTGCGTTCTGCAATTCCATTCTGTTGGGGGTATGAGGACAAGATGTTTGATGTAACACACTATGTGATGCCATTAAATTCTGAAACTGAGTAGACAGATATTCACGTGCATTATCACTTTGTAAAGTGCGAATAGGGATACCAAATTGATTTTTTATTTCATAAAAAAAGATTGAAAAATAGAAAAAAATTCTAAACTTTCTTTCATTAAGTTTAGCCAAGTACAACGGGAAAAATCATCTATAAAAGTAACAAAATACCTATACCCTAATGTAGAGAAAATACGACTTAGACCCCAAACATTTGAATGAACTAAAAACCAAAGGGGACGAAGCCCGACTGATAGTGCGACTAGAAAAAGAATTACGAACATATTTACCTAATTAACATGACTCACAAGACAAAGACTCTAACTTAGAAAGACTAAGGTATTGCTGTTTCAACTTATCAAGACCTGGATGTCCTAATAGAGCATGAATCAGAAGTGGAGACGTTGCTTGTAACACCTTAAATTTAATTTCAATTAAATAATGATTTCGCAAATCGGATAACCAAATTTTTATAAAAGATTTCAAAATAAGTGAAGGGTTACAACTTAATATCAAATAACTGCTACAAGACTAGTTCAATTACAACGTTTTCAAAATAAATTCTAAGTCCTATAGCAGTCCATCCGTCCCTTCACTGAGCCCAGTACTGATCGTCTTGGTTACCTGAAAAATGAATGTAAGGGTGAGTACTCTACACTACCCAAAACACACAATAAGCGTAAAGTCTCACCTCCAGAACATTTCAATACATTAAACAAACACAATCACAAGCAGCATTTCAGATCCATAAGTACAAAACATAAATCTATACATACGCATACCAGCCACACTCACTATAGTACTGTGATCACAGATTTATGCCATGAATGGTCATCGATTACCCCCACCTCATGGATACTACGTGGGCAGTTACGGGTCGCTCAGCAAAGATAGCAGTCAGAGGTCTAGTCAGGAAGAGAGTGTGTGGCCCGTGGTGCACCCGTTCCGCAGTCGGTGTCACCACCACTCCCTCTTCCCCAAAGTATTTCTACCGTCCTCATCTCTTACATTCTCAGTGTATCGCTAAACCATTCATAGCACATTACAGCGGCGCTACTACACCCCAGTCACACACATTTCAATATAGGCACATAGCCCACATTTAACAGTACATGACACTAGGCCCATATTTGTTCTACTATACGGCACTAGGCCCACATTTCATTTTCACAGCACACATAGCACATAGCCCACAATTTATTCATGCCACACGGCCCCTAGCCTATTTCCATTCATATTACACGGCCTTCGGGCCCACATTTTCACAATGTTCATTCAAATATACACATATGTATAAATAGCACAAGTGCCCACATCACATATCTCAGCAATTTCCTACCCTCTACACAGCCACATCACAATATCACACAAAATATCAGCAAATCACTATAAAGGAGTAGGGTAGAGTCCTCCCTTACCTTGGATTGAAGACCCTCATCCGAACTCAACTATGGAAATGCTCCCCACATGACTTTCGGCCTAAACACATGGAAGAATTCCATGAGAACCCCGAAAATCACCAAGAACAGAGAAAGGGAAGGAAAATGAAAACCCTAACTGTTTAAAACTCACCTCCAAACGTTCTCTACACAAATCTGAGCTCCAATCTCGCTCTCAAACGGCTTTGGAGATAATTAATCAGTGGAATAGGGCTTTGGGAACGAGAGGATCAAATGAATTTTGAACGGAGAGGGAAAAATAACTCTCCCCGAACCCTAACTCTCTTTTTGAAGGGAGTGGCAGCGGGAGGAAGAAATTCGTTGAACTCACAAAGAAGGCTTGATACCGAGCCAAGATAGGTTGACATAGAATCCTTAATCTGATAGGCACTAAGGACAATCATGAGATCTATACAAACTTGGTAGAGTCGCCAAGAATTGTTTGTAAAGAGTTGTTAGGCTTGTGTCCAAATAGCTTTACAGGTTTTGTGAGTGTGAAAGACATCATGAAGAGATGGGTGAATGGTGGCCTGAATGATATAGCACAGTCAGCGTCAACCTTTTTCCACAGAGGACGGTCGGCCTCCGAGACATCATCTGCTGTTTGGGTGAGATGTGTCTCATAACCCTATCCAACAAGGCAAAGTTCAATGTGAGAAGCCCAGGAGGAGTAGTGCTTACCATCCAACTGCTCAGAAGAGAAAGGTGCAGTGACATGTTGATAAAAATCTGGGTGTCGACTTTTGGAGTGCTAGAGGCAACCATTGGTCAACTAGAAGAGAGAGAAAATGCCTAAACAGCAACAAAAAAGGGCAAAACAAGGGCGAATAAATGTCCAAATAGCTAACCGAGACCAGATACAGGTAGAGGAGAGAGGGGCGAGCAAACCCCGGTCGACGGCATCAAAAAAGGGAGAGAGGGTGGTGCGTGAGAAAACAGACTAAGGAGAGGCGGTGCGTGGGGGCTCCAATGAAGGCGCAGTTAGCGGGGTTCGGCCAATCTGACAAGGGCAACCACAACGGCGGAGTTTCTGTAGTGATCGTATGTCAAATGAGGGCGGCAATGCCAGAACAATGGCGAACAGTAGCAGCAGCGCAAAAAAAAAAACGGCATCAATGAACAGTGGGTCCACCGAAAAAAATGGATTAGGCACTACGCCAAAATGGAGATCTGAGAGCGGTTTTGTTTTGAATTAAAGAGCGTTTAGAACTGCTCTAAAATCTTGCGCTATCTGATGTGTTATATTTAAGAGAGCGGTTAAAGAACCACAATCAGATATTAAGATTGGAGAGCGGTTCCAGGCGGAACCGCTCTCTAATTTATACTTTGGAGAGCAGTTCCACTCGGAACCGCTCTCCAAAGTATAGGTGTAAGATTAGAGAGCGGTTCTGCGTGGAACCGCTCTCCAAAGTATAAATTAGAGAGCGGTTCCGCCTGAAACCGCTCTCTAAAGTATAAATTTAGACTGCGAAATTTGAAATTGATTTCTTTGTGAGTTTTCTGTTGCAAAATAAAAATTTATTATTACGTTTAAATCAAAATTTAGAATTAATTTCTTTGTAAGTTTTCTTCATTTTTATCACAAATCAAAATTGAATCTTGAGTTTATATATTTGGTGTTAACCAAATAGTCCACATCTGCATGAACGAAACACAAGTAAGCAGAGAAAAAAGAGAACAAATTAATAGGATAATTTTTAACATTAATAGAGAGAAAAAGAAAGAAAAAGAGAATGGATGATTCACCGTTAACAAAGAGAAGAAGAAAGAAAGAGAGAATAAAGAAGTACCTACAGAAGATGAAGAGAAAAAAAAAATTATTTTGTTAGCGTAAAGAAGATGAAGAGAGCATATTAACACATAATGAAGAGGTACCTACAGATTGGAAAAAAACCAATTTGTCAGCGAGAGAAGACGAATAGAGTAGGCTAACAGAGAAGATGAAGAAAATATAAGAGAGTAGAGAAGAAACTTACAATGAAAGAGAACAGCTTTGTTAGCTATGAAGAAGAAATGCGTTGAGAGCGTGTTCATTTATAAATGACTTTAATAATATTAGAGAGCGGTTAATAGAGAACCGCTCTCAGAAGTATAGTTCTGAGAGCGGTTAACAAAGAACCGCTCTCAAAAGTATAGATCTGAGAGCGGTTAACAAAGAACCATTCTCAGAAGTATAGATCTGAGAGCAGTTAATAGAGAACTGCTCTCTAAATATATAATTACAAAGCGGTTTTTATTAACTACTATCTAAGTTAGCGCTCCAAAAACTCATTTCAAGCGTAGTGAGGATTGCCTCTCTAGGCTCTAGATACCATGTTGAGAGAGAAAATATTGAATCCGTGTATTTAGGACATAACGGAGTTATTCCAATTTATAGAGAAGAGTACATAATTACAAAATATACAGTTATTATATTTATAAGATTCTAATAGATTCTAACAATTTGGAGAAACAACATTCTAAACGTCCCCCTTGGGCAGAAAAGGGTCCCAATCAATAAAGGAGGTCCCGATGAATAGAATGATATTTGTGGTGAGCCGAACGAGAGCGTGGCTTTCAGTGTCAGCAAGGTGTTCTGTGATGTGCGCCATGTACACCATATTGAAGATGGCCTAATTACAAAGATAATGACAATAAATATTTACAATAAATAGTAGTAATATAATATATTCTTAACTCTAAATCCTTTAAATACAAGAAATTTATAACTGATGAGAATAATTTTACTTATCAATTGAGAAAATAAATGACAAATGTAAATACCCATAAAAATGTAACAGCTCATGACACCTACTATTACCACTAACAATGATCATTATATAACAAATAAATTCTAATAATGGATACTGATTCATATTCTCAACAATATGCATGAACTTATGTAATTCAATTGATGCAGGATCGTGGACAAGATTAACAACTCTATTGGGCAAGATCCAGATTCAAAGAACTTGATTGGCGTTCTAGATATATATGGATTTGAGAGTTTCAAGACAAACAGGTCCATAGCCAGTACGCTATTTTGCTCGGTGTTAAAAATAAAATTTCATGCATAGAATTTTGTGAAATAATTTTGATAGATGAATTAGGATTATGAACTAAGGAACTTATATGCTTTGTGCCTGTGCGTTATAATACAAAAGTTGATAAATCAGTTGGTTTTTGTTTCATGCATTAGTGGATATTGTCCCAGACTTTTGATGTTCTACTGTAAAAGTACTCTACGAGGGAACAATATTCTTGGCTTTGCCTCTTTTCTTCTTTGACTGTGGTAGTTTTTTGTTTTGCTTGATGTACTCACAGGGGATAAATGAACTAAAAAATAATGATACTAAAGAAATAATGCACACAAGATTCTAATGTAGCTTGCGCTGTAACCTAAGTCTACATGTAAAGATGACAGGTAAATGGGCATATATAGAAATTCATATTCACTTACAGATTTTCTTATGTGCGGCTGTCATCAATGAAGAATTATTATGCTTGTAATGTTCTTCTTGTAATTAATGACTATCATGCAATGTCTGGATCAATTTTTTTCTGTGCCTTTATTACTAATCTTTTGATGTCTCATGTAATATTCAATTGTTCTTCACAGCTTTGAGCAATTTTGTATCAATTTAACAAATGAGAAATTACAGCAACATTTCAACCAGGTTTTTTTCTTTCATTTTTCAGTCTTCTTGGGTTTCATTATCTGGCAAACTATTTCTGTTGACTCAATTAACATTTCATTGTGCAGCATGTATTCAAAATGGAGCAAGAGGAATATACAAAGGAAGAGATTGATTGGAGCTATATAGAGTTCGTTGATAATCAAGATGTTCTTGATCTCATAGAGAAGGTGCAATTCACACTTCCATCATTATGTCGTTCTAGTAAAGTTCTTTCAGTTTATCATCTCATTCTTGTATTAAATGTACTTTCATTTATATTTTGATGATCCCACCATTGATTTAAGATCATAATATTTAGTGATACTACATGTATATTATATCACATCTTCATTATGATTTTTTAATTTTCAAACTTCCCATTCAAATCAGTATTAAATACTCCTAAAAGTAAGTTAATCTGTTTGAAGAAAGATTATTCTATTGATGATATTAGCACCTAGATATTTTGACAAAATAATGGCATTGATACAGTTTTTATTTTTATTTTCTTTTTTATCTTACCAGTTTTTTATAAAGGATGTAGATTGCTAGCTTGTACATATAACTGCTTATATGCTTGAAATCTACCAGTTATTTTATTTTTCTAATGGATGTATTGTTTTAACTTCAGAAACCTGGTGGTGTTATAGCTCTCCTGGATGAGGCCTGGTATGTATTTAATGATTGAGTGTGCAAATACTTCTAATATGATTATTCATTTAAATATAGAATAGCTAGTATTTAACATTTTACATTACGTATTTGTCTATGTATAGTGACATCTGTATATTCATATACTCTGAGATTGAGATTTTCCTGCGTATGTTTTGTAGTATGTTTCCAAGATCAACGCATGAAACATTTGCTGAAAAGCTTTACCAAACATTTAAAGACAATAAACGATTTAGCAAGCCAAAGTTGTCTCGCACTGATTTCACCATTAACCACTATGCTGGTGATGTAAGTGAAGCATATTTTGGTTTACACAGTTATACACCATCAATGATGAAGGAAAAAAGGCTTAATATATGATAATCTTTAATTTCAGGTCACTTATCAAACTGATCTTTTCCTTGACAAAAATAAAGACTATGTTGTTCCAGAGCATGCTGCCCTACTCAGTGCTTCCAAGTGCCCATTCGTTTCAGGGCTGTTCCCACCTTTACCTGAGGAAACTACTAAATCAACAAAGTTCTCTTCTATAGCCACTCAGTTTAAGGTCTGTTTTGTTTTGCACAAGCCTATAAATGAAAATTATCTGCCTTGTATTTATATGTCTATTCTTAATACATGTATTATAAAGCTACAACTGCAAACTTTGCTTGAAACACTGAATGCTACCGAACCACACTACATTCGTTGTGTAAAGCCAAATAATCTTCTTAAGCCAGGGATATTTGAGAACAACAATGTGTTGCAGCAACTTCGATGTGGAGTAAGTTCTACACCATTTTGTCCGTATTCTCTCATATGACATGATTATTTTTGTGAAGTGACTTGAGACTTTAAGGATTCCATTCACAGGGAGTAATGGAGGCAATTCGAATAAGTTGTGCTGGTTATCCTACTAGAAAGAACTTTGATGAATTTGTTCAGCGGTTCAGTATCCTAGAACCTAAGGTTCTGGAAGAATGGTATTTTCAACCCTTTCCATTTTCTGTTTTCCTTTTCGCAGTCATAGATGAAAGTGATTGTGGAATATTTGAAACAAATTAATAATAACCATATATTTGCAGCCCTGAAGAGATGAATGCTTGCAAGAGGATTCTAGATAAATCAAACCTTAAAAAAGATTATCAGGTGCCATTTTATCCCAACCGGAATTTCTATTAATCTGAGTTGTAATACTTACGCTTCTTGCTGGTTACTTGAATGAGATAATGCTACTTGTTCCTAGCACGTTATATTATAACAATGAGTAGAATAACATGTTGTAGGAGATTATAGTGTTCCTTTTCCACTGGTTTAAACTAACACCCCAGAGAAAGAAAGAAATATTCCAGCTTGTTACTAAACAAGTTTACTTCTATTGCATCCATGTGCTTTTGTGATTTCTGGATATAAATCTTAGCATACAAGGAAAGAAAAATACTCTTGCTGAATTATTGCAATTGCAGATTGGAAAGACGAAAGTGTTTCTTAGAGCAGGTCAAATGGCAGAACTAGATGCATGTCGTGCTGAGGTCTTGGGAAGATCTGCAACCATTATCCAGAGAAAAGTCCTCACATTTCTTTGTCAGAAACACTACATTCTACTGCAGTTGTCTGCCACAGAACTTCAAAGGGTTGCTAGAGGTGTCAATTATGTGAATCCTTTAGGGCTATTTACAGCTTTTGACTTTGAAATCAATGAAATATTGAATTTTGATTATATATTGCTATTGTATGAATTTAATGTAGGACAACTTGCACGACATCAGTATGAATGCATGAGGAGGGAAGCTGCTTCTTTGAAAATCCAGAGACATTTCCGCATGCATCTTTCCAGAAATGCTTACAAAACTATTTATGCCACAGCTATTTATATTCAAACTGGTATGCGTGGGATGGCTGCTAGAAATGACCTTAGATTCAGGAGAAGGACCCAAGCTGCAATTGTTATTCAGGTAGGATAGAGCATTATTTTCTCTTAATCAAACAGGGCTATTATCGGAAGCTTTTGTGCTTAGTTTTCCAATTTATATATTTCCCATGTTAGCATTGTTTTCTTTTCAATCAAGGCTATTATGACTCCATTTTGTCTGTCCTGACACTGAAATGGAAGGAACTTCATTTACTGGACCGGCCATTATATATTCCTTACCTTATTTTGAAATTCACTTTCTTGGTCAACTAGATGTCTCAACAGAAATTTGAGTATTCTATTTACCGTTTCTTTCAAAGTAATATGTTTCATTTTCTATAATAGCCTAGGATTAAAGAATTCAAAGTGTTGCTCAATTTTTCATCCCTGAATAATCATTTATATTCATATTGTATGATATTTGGTGCACTAATGCACACAAAACATGGTTAAATAATGTGGGAGTTTTTTTTATCATAGGGTCACCGCAGAGGTTATTTAGCCCGTACTTATTTCAAAAGGTTAAAAAAAGCAACAATATCGGTCCAATGTTCCTGGAGGAGAACAAGGGCGCGTAGAGAACTTCGAAAGCTTAAAATGGTGTTCCCTCTTCCCTTGTTTTCTTTCCTTAATTCTTTCATCATCAGCAAGATTTTTTTATTGAAAGAATTTGAAAAGTTTTATTATTGTTAGTGTTATTTCACTTTTTCCCCTTTACAAGTCTTTGAAAATTTATTTATGTCACTAATACTATACTTCTTTGCTTTTAGATAGTATAATTTCGTTGGAATTCAATTTTGTGATTCTTTTGATATTATTTCATGGAATACATAAGTTTGCACAAACTGATAAAAATGGATTTTGAAAATGGTTTTATCACTGGAAAAGTGTTGCTCCCCACCCGCGGCCCCCAAAATGTGAAATAATATGGGTATATCTTTTTGAAATGTGAATTTGATCCTTTCAACTTGCTATGATACAACTGTTTTCTATATGGATTTCTTGTATCTGTTATCTTGCCTGAGAAATATCTAAATTTTAACTTCCTTCAGGCTGCCAAGGAAGCCAAGGCTCTTGAAGCTGCCAAAATTAATCTTGAAAAGCAAGTCGAAGAATTAACTTTGTGTCTAGAAACAGAGAAGAGAATGAGGGTAATTTACTAATTTACAGTAAATGTAGATGTAGATGTATGAAAATGTTTCATGTGTACTATTGCTATTATTTTTTTCTATTACCTCTAAATGTTTTGTCTTAGTTACTATTTCACTGACTTTCTAACTGTTTTGGTTCATTGTGATATTGAGGAAGCCAAGACACAGGAAAATGAAAAACTACAACAAGCTTTGCAAGAGATGGAGCTACAGTTCCAAGAAACTAAGGAATCCAAGACACAGGAAAATGAAAAACTACAACAAGCTTTGCAAGAGATGGAGCTTCAGTTCCAAGAAATTAAGGAATCCAAGACACAGGAAAATGAAAAACTACAACAAGCTTTGCAAGAGATGGAGCTTCAATTTGAAGAAACTAAGGCAGTCAAGACAAAAGAAAATGAAAAACTACAACAAGCTTTGCAAGAGATGGAGCTTCAGTTCCAAGAAACTAAGGCAGCGCTCATTCAGGAACGTGATGCTGCTAAGCAAGTAGCTGAGAATGCTCCAACTATACCGGAGACTTCTATTAATGCTGTTGACAATGAATTGATCAATAAGCTTACTTCAGAAAATGAACAACTTAAGGTAAGCATTACATAAAAAGTGTTGGAAGAATTTATGCTTCTGGACGTGTTATAGTATCCAAAGTTATTGTTAATTTTGATGCTTTACAGGAACTGGTTAATTCATCGGAAAAGAAAGCTGCACAGGAGCTTCCTGTCAATGTTACTGACAATGAATTGATCAATAAGCTTACTTCAGAAAATGAACAACTCAAGGTAAGCATTACATAAAAGGTGTTGGAAAAGCTTATGCCTTTGGGTGTGTTATAGTGTCCGAAGTTATTGTTACTTTTGATGCCTTCAGGAGCTGGTAATTTCATTGGAAAAGAAAACTGCACAGGAACTTCCGGTCAATGCTACTGACAATGAGTTGATCAATAAGCTTACTTCAGAAAATGAACAACTTAAGGTAAGCATTACATAAAAAGTGTTGGAAGAATTTATGCTTCTGGACGTGTTATAGTATCCAAAGTTATTGTTAATTTTGATGCTTTACAGGAACTAGTTAATTCATTGGAAAAGAAAGCTGCACAGGAGTTTCCAGTCAATGTTACTGACAATGAATTGATCAATAAGCTTACTTCAGAAAATGAACAACTCAAGGTAAGCATTACATAAAAGGTGTTGGAAAAGTTTATGCCTCTGGGTGTGTTATAGTGTCCGAAGTTATCGTTACTTTTGATGCCTTCAGGAGCTGGTAATTTCATTGGAAAAGAAAACTGCACAGGAACTTCCTGTCAATGTTGACAGTGAATTAATCAATAAGCTTACTGCAGAAAATGAACAAGTCAAGGTAAGGATTACATAAAAGGTGTCTGAAAAACTTTTAATTCTAGCTGTGTTATAGTATCCAAAGTTATTGTTACTTTTGATGCCTTACAGGAACTGGTTGATTCATTGGAAAAGAAAGCTGCACAGGAGCTTCCTGTCAATGTTACTGACAATGAATTGATCAATAAGCTTAATGCAGAAAATGAACATCTTAAGGTGTAAATTTCAAATGAAGTGCTTGAAATTATGTTCTGGGTTATCATAATATCTAAAAAAACCATTTCTACTTTGCAGGACCAGGTTAATTCATTGGAAAGAAAAATTGATGAAACAGAAAGGAAATATGAAGAATGTAACAGGCTTAGTGAAGAGCGCATGAATCAAATTATAGAGACAGAATCAAAAATAATTGACATAAAGACAAATATGCAGAAGTTTGTATATTGGCCTTTGTTTCTTAAACGTTGCATTAAAAGGAATACCTTCTGTTTTCCTTAGTTTAATATGTTGTCTCTGCTGTGTGCTAGGCTTGAAGAAAAATTGTCAGATATGGAAACTGAGAATCAAATTTTGCGGCAGCAAGCCTTGTTGAGTTCGTCGTCCAGGAGAATGTCAGGAAAATTTTCACCTGCTACTACTACGGTAAATACAAAACATTGTTTATTAAGTGAGGCTGTTGGTATGCTTAATTATCTATTCGCAATCCCCATGAAATTTAATTTAAAATTTTAAAATATTCTCAATTAAATAATTTTTTATTGAAACTTAGTCCAAGTAATTGTATCTTAGTTGTTTATTCACATATAATCAAGCACAATTTGGAAAATTTCAATTAAAATAAGTTAATGAGTAATGTGAGTCAATAATTCTTGGTCTCAATAATCTCATAATTTCATCTTTGTTTACCCTTATTGGAGATTATATTAATATCTTTTCCTGCTCTTGCTACTACAGGCGTTGGAAAATGGTCAGCAGGTAATACGGTCTTTTAGATTTGAAATCCCTGTTACTTTCCTAGTAATTTTATATCATATTTGTATTTTTCAAGGAAAAATAGTTCTCCACCTATCCTTTTCTCATGGTTTTGAAGAAAAATCTATTTTCTATAGGCACCGCAGAGTTCTGCACCAGCAAAAACATTTGGTTCAGAGGCTGATAGTAAACTAAGGAGATCTATTATGGAGAGGCATCAGGTATGTTCATGCCGAACAATTGTTGCTTTAGATATATTTAATTTGCATTTTATATATTTCCATTCATGTAGTCAGATTATCTATTTTTTTGCTTTCCTTGTGTGCAGGAGAGTGTAGATATTCTTTTCAAATGTGTGACAAAAGATCTTGGGTTCTCTGAAGGAAAACCTGTTGCAGCATTTACCCTTTATAATTGTCTGCTACATTGGAAATCTTTTGAAGCAGAAAAGACGAGCATATTTGATCGCCTTATTCAGCTGATTGGTTCTGAAATAGAGGTAACTTGCTGTTTACTCAAACCATTTTTGTGTAGGTCTATTAGAGGTAAAATCTTTTAAGGATTTTGTTCGAAAAAGATTCTAGTACTGGAAATGATTTATAAAAATTTCTAGTAATGGAAATGATTTTTAGATGCTTATTAATACCTACCAAAAGTGAATGTTAGTCAACAAGAACAACAATAACCAGGCCTTATCCCACTAAGTGAGATTGGTTTCATGAATCACATGAGTCATTGAGCTTGGTCAAAAACCAAATTCTCAAAGATATTATAATCAATAGGTACTTTTTAATAACTTCCTCTAAGGTTCTTCTTTCTCCCTCTATCCTTGTTTACCGAATTAAAAGTCATGTCATTCACTCTCCTCATTCGTGCTTCCAGAGATCTTCTCTGCACATAACCAAACCACCTTAAATAGTTTTCAGTTATATTTTTCACTATATGCTATTCCAATATTCTCACTTATACGATCATTTCTTATACTATCTTTTCTCATTTGTCCACTCATCCACCTTAACATTCTCATTTCTACCACTCCCATCTTTTTTCTTGTGTTGTTTCCTATAAGGCCTAATATTTACTACCATATTGGATAGTTGATTGTATTGCAATACGATAAAACTTTCTTTTCAACTTGATAGGTATTTTATGGTCACAAATAACTCTTGACGTCTTTCTGCACTTTAAACACCCAGTTTGTATTCTGAGTAACATCTTCACTAATTTTCTCATCATTCTATAGAATTGATCCCAAGTACTTGAACTTGGAGACTCATGGTATAATATCATATCTAATTTTCACTTCTACACATGATCTACATCTTGTTTTTTGCTAAAATTACAATGCATATATTTTGTCTTACTTCTACTCAAGTGAAAATCCTTAGATTCCAAAGTCTTCCTCCATAACTCAAGTTACCTCTTGTTTTGAATCATCTAACAACATTATGTCATCCATGAAGAACATGCACTTAGGGATAATCTTTGATATGTAACTTGTAAGCACATCTAAAACTAGGTTAAACAAGGGCTCAAGGTAGAGCCTTGATGTAAATCCATCCCTATAAGGAAGTACTTTGATACACCTTCATGAGTTCTTATACATGTAGGTACCCCCTCATACATGTCTTGTATAGCGCAAATATCTGCTACACAAACCCCTATCATTTCTAAAATCTTCCATAACACTTCTTTTGGTACATGGTCATATGTTTTTTCTATGTCAATAAAAACCATATATAAGTCCTTTACTTTGTAGTGATACTTTTCCATCAACTTTTGTAAAAGATATACAGTTTTTGTTGTAGACCTATCTAGCATAAAACCAAATTGATTTTTTACAATCCTAGTTTCATCTTAGTCTATGCTCAATGTTACTTAAATACTGATAATTTTTGTAATACTGAAAATGATTTGTAGTTAGTTGGTTGTCTAATTCAGCTAGTTAAATACTTATTTCATGGCAGTATGATTACAGCTTGATTGCCACCCCAAAGCTTAATATTTAGAGGACCTTTGATGCCAATGGCCAATAGGGTAAATTTGTTATGAGAGGACTAAGAACTATATTTTAATTGATTTGGGGGATGCAACAACAACCAAGTATGCCTTCAGATTATTATGTATCAAAATAACGCTCCATACCTACAAGCTACAATGCCTATTATTTTTGTAGATGATAACATATCACGGTTTTCTATAAAATTTTCAAGATGTGCGTGTAGTGTAGCATGACATCCCAATAGTTGTCACAAAGATATGCGGACATGAATTGGCTTACCAAAATCACTCAAAGGTAGATGTTCTGAAAATGAGGCACTTCAAATTACGAATGCCCACCATCTTCATATACCTATTTGGATTTGGTCCTCCTACTCCAATCCCTATTATTACATGAATTGAACCTTGCTAATCTTTTACAGTGAGTATTGTATTAAGTAGGGTAGGGTTTGGTTTGTTTCCTTTTTCAATTGATATGTTTTCACTAAGCCCCATAAAAGTTGGCACATCTCACTTTGTTTCTTGATTTCAATAATTTTCAAATGAACTTGTTTTCACCATTTCTTTAACAAAATCTTGAAAAAAAATTGAAAAGAATGTGAAAACAGTGTGGCATTTGTGTAATCATAAATGAAAACATATCAACTAAAAATAAAAACAAAATACACATTAAGAAATGGTGTACTTGATGCTTTAAAAAGGGTGATACATAGGAAGTGGCAACAATCAAAGTTGGGACCAACGGTTATTTCATATTGTCACACAGTATTCCATTTAACTTTCTTTCAGGATCAGGACAATAATGATTGTATGGTATATTGGTTATCCAACACATCTGCTTTGTTTTTCCATCTTCAGCAATGTCTTAGAGTACCTACAGCACGAAAACCACCCACTCCAACATCTTTTTTTGGGAGGGTGGCCCAGGTATTAAGTTTGTTTCTAGCTATCTAATTTAACAGATATTGAACATAAGTGCCATGTGAACTTCTTGCTCATACTGCCATAAATATTTCATTTACACATATATTGCTTAGATGCTATATATTATACACTGCTATGGATTTAGATAGGCTATGCAGTGCTTCCAAAATACAAGTGCAATAATTGAAGGCTATTAGTAGGATTTGTTTGTATCCTTATTATCCAAAACATGCTATATGAATACACTTTCTAGAATGCTAGTGTCTAAATATCGTTATCAATAAAGGCCAAAGAAAATGAAAGGAAAATAATATGGATGGATTGGTATCCAAAATCAATAGACTTTCAATTTGCGTAATTCAATTATATTTCTATTATACACCTTGTTCTAGGTCTAACATTTTTTTGTTGATAAAAAATGATAGATTTATGAAAAAATATTATGCTTTTCCTCAGTAGTATCAGCCATACATTCATGATTTTCATTTTAAATAGACGCCTATACGTATTGTAACTAATGATTGTAGTTATAGATAATGCCATTAAATTCACTGTATGGAATTAAATGTTGTGTATCAGGGTTTCCGCTCATCTAATAGTCTTTCCAGCAGTGCATTCGATGTTGTAAATCAGGTTGATGCCAAGTATCCAGCTTTGCTTTTCAAGCAGCAGCTTGCAGCTTATGTGGAAAAGATATATGGAATCATTCGAGAAAACTTTAAGAAAGACTTGTCACCCCTGCTTTCTTCCTGCATTAAGGTATGGTGGCAGTATATGTTGTCATGAAATAAGTCTTATGTATTTACATGTGTATGATTCCATTTTGCAGTAAAATTTATGCTATTAGGAGCAGTATCATAGGTGGTAGCTTTTTCTACCAGGACTTAACTTTGTGCTCTAATCTAGTGCAAATCTTACCAGCAATTTTGTCTTCAGTGCAGAACATTCACAGTAGCCTCCTATTGAAATTTATTTAACATCCAAATCATCAAGAATTTTATTTTAATTTTTTTTATTCCTCTCAAGTCTCTCTCTCTCCCACTGGATATTATTCTTCTGCTCTACTGTTTTCTCCTGATGTCTTTATATATATTGGTGTCTTGTTCACTTCCATATGCACGCAATTATTGAACACTATGTTTTAGATTTTAGGTTGGTACTTCCCTGGAAAAATAAAAGATGTTCTCTTAAACCTTTAAAATAAAATAAAATAAAATTGGGGCTCATGGTTGGCATGAAGATGTCTTCCATATGCCTGTAGGTGGAGGTCAATCTATATCTAGTTGACTATCTCAGTGAAATTATGCTTATTCCACTTAAATATGTTATTGTGACTTCAGGCGGATGGAACATCAAATGACAACAGTCAACCTACTACTTCTTGGCTCAGCATTATTGAATGCCTAAATAGATTTCTCAAGATTCTGAAAGAAAATTATGTATGTGAAGGTTTGACAATACTGTGAATTGGTATCCTTACACGCCTAGCCTTTCCACTTCTTTTTCTGTTATCTAAATTTTAGTTTTGTTTCAGGTGACTCCTGTTCTAGTTCATAAGCTTTTTAGTCAAATTTTACAATACATCAATGCAGAGCTCTTTAATAGGTAAGCCGTCTTGTTTCATTCAGCCCCTTTTATAGTAATAGACTAATTATAAGCATATATGGGTTGAGTGATGAGTTGGCAATGCAATGTTCTATAGCCTTCTATTAAATCGAGAATGCTGCACTTTCAAAAATGGAGAATATATAAAATCAGGGCTGGATCAACTAGAACAATGGGGCAATGAAGCAACAGAAGAGGTACACTATATTGACCCTTTAATAATTTTCCTGGCCATATTTAGGCCACATATATCATGTGAACAATTAGTTCTTATTTCGCTAGTAACCATTTCTTTTACAGTGCATTGGCTCATCTTTGGATGAACTCAAAAACGCAACGCAAGCAGTTGGATTCTTGGTACACCTATTACTTCTATCTATAAACATTTTTGCTTTATAGACAGATTTCAAGTAGACTACTGATCATTGATATTTTAAGTAATATTTTCTTTTCTATTTCTCATCATATTTTATTTTCTCCTTTGGTGTCTCACTCACCTTGGATACATTTAAGCAAATTCATTAAGATTTTTCCCTAGGCTTGTGAACGATTTTTTTTTTCCTTTCCCGTTCCAAGATTAGTAAGATTCCATGTGAAGGGCCACTGCCTTACTTTGGCCTTTATTGTTATTACTGTATGCATAATTAATAATATATTATAAATTTAGAATGCAGCAGAATAAGTTTCCTAAATCCTCAAAAATTCATTTCTCTCCCTAACGTAATTTGGATGCAATAATTTCGCCAGGTTGCACAACAGAAGGATGGACTGTCTTATGATGATCTTACAAATGACCTCTGCCCTGTAAGTTTTTCCCTCTAACACGAGTGATTGATAACAGGAATAAATTAAATCTTTGAATGGATGAACATACTTGTAAAATAAATATAAATAGCTAATTCTCAACTGCCAAACATTAACCCATCACAAAGCTAAAAATGATCCATAACTTTGTCTAAGTTTATCCCAGTAGGTGCAATCAGCAACATGCATAAGGGCATCACTGGATTCTATTAAATGGTAATATAGATGACAAGTGAGTTCAATATTTCTGTCACTCTAACATCTACCTATGCTGAATTCAGGTCCTGAGTGCTCAGCAGCTTTATAGAATATGTACATTTTATTGTGATGAAAAAGACAATACTCAAAGTGTATCGTCAGATGTAAGTTGCAGAAAGCAAGAAAAATACCCAAACTCTTTCAACTTGGCAATTTTCTCTTATAAGAATATTAGTTATTGTAATTTATGCTTATGTACTTGTGCAGGTCACTTCTAGATTGAAGCTTCTAATGACAGATGATGAAAATGAAGACGACAAATCTTTCTTGTTGGAAGACAATTCAAGGTAAACTCACTCATATGATACAGACATATAAATTCAAATACAAGAAATTTTGTTTCAACTGAAAACTTTAGTAACACCTTTTACTTTTTTCAAATTGCAGTCTTCCTATTATCGTTGAAGAGATTCCTACTTCCCTTCAAGATAAGACCATGCCAAAAGTAAAACCTCCTGCAGAACTTCTTGAGAATGCAAACTTCCAATTTTTGCATGATTATTGTTAGTCCTCCTTTTATGCAGCTTAGATTTTAAGGTTCCAAATTTGTTCTCTAATTAAACACCATGATGTAAATCCACCCACTCTCACCCCCACCCCTCCCTTTTTCTTGTATTTTTTTAGTGGCATCCATACTGTATTGGTTGTGATAGCAAAAAGGCAGGGTAGGTTTCATAATATCTGTTAACATTTTATTTTTGGCCTCTTTTTAAATTAGATTATATAGATGTTCACTTGGGGGACAAATCTTTGTATTAGCATGAAGAAAGAACAGTAAAATTTGTAAAATGATAGGAATTGATCCCATAGACTGTTGTTCTGCCCTTAAATTTCTGGCATTGTAGAAGGTAGTATATTACCATCAAATGCAATGGTGATATTGGCCACTTATGTAATAGAATCATCCTTTGTGACATTGAAACAATGGATTATGAAGTGAATTGATCACTTTTAAATTTCAACTAATACTAAAGCATTGAATCTGTCATCAAGTGCATTGAATGTGTAGTTGATAATAAAGGTACGAGGCTAGATTACTTATTATATAATTATGAGGTACGACAAATCAGTGCACTAAATAGTCAATATAGAAATGTAAAGGAACTCATAAAGCAACTGTTCCAAAAGCATTTTTTATAACAAGAATCTATTCTGCAAAGATTTTTTTATTTATAGTCCTTAAATTCCCAAAACATCTCATCCAACAGTGGTTAGTTGTAGTAGAATGGAATTATAACTATGGAAAAGAGAAGAGCTGTTTGAATATTGTTGTGTATTGCATTTGACCCAAAAGTCTGAATTGATACAAGTGTACAAGGATCTATATTAAGTAGAGAATATTATCTAATAAATGTAATCCTCATGTTACATTTTTAATTACTGTATTTACATAAATGTAATTCTGATATTGTGTTCCTAATTACCATACTTACGTATCAACAATAACCTTAGACGAATTTTATTTGCATGTTAGGATTTAAATCTATGTATGAGTTTCTACAAGTTTTACATTGGCTTTTGAGGGTCTAACACAACCCTTCTCCTTTACTAAGGCTTGGGACCGATTATGAAACTATAGGTAGAATTTATTAAGAGTTATTTGTGACCGAAAAACTACATATCAAAATCAAAAGAAAGTTTTATCGAACTCTAATATGACCAATTATTGTATTTGGTAGTGAATGTTAGGTTTTAAAAGAACTACACAAGAAAAACGTAAGAGTAGTACAATTGAGAATATTAAAATGAATGTATGTCTACATGAGAAAAGACAAGATAAAAGTTTTATTATATGAAAGGAAGGATTGCAGTAGCACATGTCGAGAAAACAATGACAGAAAATTGGTTAAGGTGATTTAGACATACAAATAAGGTCATTAGATGCATCAGTGAAGATGGTTGATTGTATGGTCTTTAGTCTTAAGAAAAAGAGTACATGAAGACCAAAAAAAACCTTGGAGGAAATCATCAAAAGGGTTCTCATGAAAAATAATATCTTTGAAAATTTAACTTTTGAGCAAGTTCAATAGCATCATATGGTCCTTGTAGCCAATGTCACCTAGTGAAATGAGACTTTGTTGTTGTTATGATTTAAATAATAGGCTCGCGCTACACTAAAAATGACTTTATCTATTCACCACAATTTCCTGAGGATCATTCTCACAATTATGTGCTTTTAATTCCTTTTGTAACCCAAACTTACATTATTTTCTTCCTTCCTAGACCTCTCATGTCGTAGCTCATTATGACAACAATTGTAACATCATCACTTTTACCAATTATAGACCTTTAGTAATCTCAACTAATTAGAAATTTTTTGTTGCTTTGAAATTAACGTAGGAGTTAATTTAGAATTTAATCAACTAGAAATATGTTTAAGGAACTTAAGAGGTCTAATTGATTTAATCAAGGATTGTATTGTTATTTGTTAAATGAGGTTTACATAAGGAATATTGCCCTTAGGATTCAACTTAGAAATTGAACACTAAAGGTAGGCTTGTAGTCCACATGAAAGCTAAGGGAATTGTAAGCCAATTGTTTAATTAACTTGGACGTTCACTTAGCAACTTGAGCTTACATCCAAAATGGCATCAATTTTAAGGCCTAAGGAGTATATTTTTCATTTAGTTAGAGTCAAGTATTAGTTATAATTGAATGGGAACAATTAGGAGGAAGTGTTTGTGACTCTCTTAATTAATTAACTATTTTCTATTATTTCATAAATAATTTTTTAATAAAATTTAATTGAAATAGATAAGAATTATAAATAAATTAGAAAAGTTCATATTTATATAAATTTTAAAATAATAGAAGTTAGTAAAGTCTTAAAACTTTACCTATAAATCTTCTTCATTACACAATTGTAAGGAAACTCACATTAGTTTTATTCATAATTAAGATGAAAATTTATCTTTGCAATTTAAATTTTTAATTAAAGTAAAGAATAAAGTTACAATTAAGCAATTAACTTACTTTATGTTATATATATATATATATATATATATATATATATATATAACAGTTTAAGATATAAACAAAACTTCATAGCAGCAAATTAAACTTCTAAATAAGGTCAGATTTAAATTACAAGCAAAATAATTAACCTACTAATTATTACAAATACTCCTTAATTTATTATTTAAAACAAAGTTTATCAAAATATTATAAATTCTAAAGTCAGTATTAAAATATTTATATCCCATTATCAACTTCAATTGTGACTTAATCAAATTTATTACAACATCAAAATAAAATAAGTCCTAACAGAATAAATCTTTCCTTATACAAAACAACTAATAATATAATATTAGAAAGGATCAATCTTCATCGAACATATTATTCTCATTTACTTCATTTGCTTCTTCATTTTTACTTCATGAAAATAATTTTAAGGGAGAGTATTCTATGTCCCACTAAATCCTTATTTTATATAACAAACAAATAATATAGAAAATATTAATCGAACTCAAGTATGCACTAAAATAATAACAACTCATTTATATAAATTTCTCCCAAAAGTCACCACAACATAATGTTTCGCACTCAACCTAATCCGATTGTACAATTTGTGAATTCATACCACTTTGATCATCTCAATTCTGATGGATCCATCATTTATCGGTACTTTCAGTATTCATGAGTTCCAAATCGCTGCCAAGCCAACATGTCTTTCCTGGCCATGAAGGACTTATGCTGATATGGATAGCCATTAGATAACAACCACACTCAGATAAAACATATGCCTTATATGGCCCCTTAGCAAAGATATAGTCATGAGTATAAGTTAAGAAATGAGTGAGGCCATATGATATATTTGCTTTCAAATGAATTGTGTTTGTTAATATCATTCATCATCCTACATTTCCCTCAGATTTTTAAAATCGACTCCTTCTATATGAAAACTTAACAGTGACAGTTTGCACTAAATTCTGCTATTCCACACATATTTGTCACTCTTTCGTGACACGCGTTTTCTCAACAATTCTTTCCATTTTGGGAACGTAACTCCAAATCCACATTCACAACCATTTACACCAACTTTCTTTTCATAATTTTCTTTCCCATGCAATCAATTTCACACTTTCTAAACAGTTCAAAATATCACATTACACAAATCAATTCAATATGCCAAAGGTCAGATACCTTCGAACTCAACCCAATCATACAGTTTAAAACACGTTGAAACTAAACCACTTACTATAGATACATTGTCGAAGATCATGTTCTATTGTTCTTAATAAAAAAAAAAACCTATCCTAAGGTTTAGTATTTCCTATTTTTCATCTTCCAATACATATACTGTTCAAAAATAATAGTTCACAACATTAACAGCACATACATGATAATGAATAGCAAAATCATGAAAATTTCTTAAAACTTGTTTTACGACTTAACTGTTACTTTAAAATTCTATTTTAGGTGATTCTTAAACCAAGCTATGTTTTCATACCCAATGAACCCATTTGTGACATTATAATTTCAAGAAAACATTATAGCTCTACTATTTAGAATAAGCAGTTTTCAAGTCAAAACACATTATTGGAGTTAGGGTTTGCGATCAACTCCCCTTACTTGAAAATGAGTCTTTCACAATAAAGAGGTGAAAGATGATGTCTCTATAACCAAGTTCTTTTTGAGATCAAAAGGAAGGGTGCAAAGTTTTTATGGAAAAATGTTGTTCAAAGACCAAATTCTTCCTAAATATCACAAAGTAGAGTAAATCTTGAGAAGAAAGAAAATGATGAAATAGGATTGAGATTAGAAGAAAAATCTTTAAGAAACTTGCTAGAAATCACGTGGACAAGATGTTCAAGCTCGAATTCAAGAGAGATGTTGAAGTTCAAAGGTGTTTCTAGTTGGGGAAGGGAATGAGAGAACTAAAAGTGAGATGAGAATGGTTATTTGCCTTTAAGTTTTAAAAATATTAGTGACTTAGATACCCTTTTTCTCAAGGATTCTCTCTTGAGTGAAGTCATTCTCAATTGAGTGAGAAAACTAGACAAAAATTTTCTACACATTTGCTATTATTTTTGCTTAAACAAAATCATTCTTGCTTAAGTGAAAACCTTCTAGAGAATTCCTATTTGTGTCATCCATTTTCACTTGTACGAGAGTCCAAATGAGCAATCTCTATCTATTCTTGCTTGAACGAGACGTTTCTCACTTAAGCTAAAAACACTTTTTTTTTAGAACTCTTTCCATTTTGAAAACAAAAACAATGAAAATTAGGGTGTTACAGTGTTGGTATATGCACTAAAAACTTTAATATTTTTTATTATAACCAAATATAAGAAATACTTATAGAGGTCACACACATAGAACTAAAAAAGTAATATTTCAATTGAACTGAAATAATACCTTATTCAATCGAACTCATTAAGAACGAGGCAGGTCACAACAGGTATGAGAGAATTAGGATTAGCCACATCTACATGCTTATAAATAGAGTATGAGATGCTTAGACCCAAAACACCATATGGAGAAACCCTAGCCATCTCTCTCTTCCTTAAGCTACTAGCATTGTGGCAAAGGAATATTCTATAGTGTTAAATTGGTGTTCATAACACTAGCAGCAAAAAAAATAGGATTTATTTTCTACCAAAATATATTAGAGCAAATGAAAAAACTTTAAATTGTGCACCTATTGATTTCTCGAATTGTAAAAATTTCTTCAATAGTGTGAAGACTCCACATGTATCCACACCGAGATTAAGCCTCTTGCGTCAACTCTTTGA